CCCCAAAACCCCAAAACCCCAAAACCCCAAAACCCCAATTCTTAAATTTCAGATTGAAATAGATAAAATGTGTTTTCAGTGAGAAATTAACTTTGATCACTTCTCCAGTATGTTGGCTCTAAGAAAAGTTCTTGTCCCCTCATTTTGTCATAACTTCTTTTACAGTAGGGACAGCACTTGTCTTTGAATATTGCAATACTGGCTCTGAAACAGATCTCGCACAGTTCTAGAAATTCTTCACAGCAGGTGGTATAAGTTCTCTTTCCAATAATTGGCCTATTAAGTCCAACTCAAACCATGCATTGGACATTTGGGGAAGGAACGTAACCTATAAAGAGAGTCAGTTTTCTGATTTTAGCATAAAATATCAGATATAAGCTGCTGAAGAACAATTTTTCTGAATGTAGAAAAATTTATCAAAAATGAGTGAAGACACAAGGAAATATTCAGCATTTAATTATAATAAGCTTAAATAAGGTCACTGAATTATAGAGCATTTATTGGAGCATAACTTACTGTCATAAGTCTCATCATAAATGTCGAGTTTAGGTCCTTTTGTAGGTCCCTCAGCTTCTATTTCTGCTATATCTTGATCTAACTTTTTGATTATGCTATTCTTTTTAATTAGACTTGCAATCTGTAATCTGAGCGTTTTATCTGAGAGCTTTTTAGCTTTGATTAATTCTTGCTTCTCTATAAAAATCATTTGTTGATCAATTTAAAATATTTTATTTATTCATAAGTCACTCTAAAAAGAAAATATGTGGAGGGGTACCTTTCTTCAATTTCCTATAAGATAAAGACTAAAAACTACTCATAATCAGCTTCTAATTTTTTGTATGCTTCTTGAATCAAGTCTCTTTCTAACTTATCCTTGTTAATTTTAATAGAGCGGTGCTTTAAACTCTGTTGAGCTTTAGCAATCGCTTCTTTCAGCACTAAAAATATGCCTACAATTCTTACTCTCAACTTTCTGATTCTCTTTCTTGAGTTTTGCTTGCTTCTTCTCTAGCTCTTTCTTAAGTTTTGGTATTGTGTAATTATTGGTTTTGAACTATGAATTAGGACGGAAACTGACAATTTCCACTTGGTTTTCCAATTTAAATGAACAAGTCATTATTCTCATTGACCTTTTTGTTGTAGGATTCATCAAATTTATTTGAGTAATTGTTATCTGCGATTCATGTCTGGCAATAGTTTTCAATTCTATAGGGTTACTTTAGGAATACGTGTAATCTTCATTTTCTACTAAATACACAGAGGCTTTTGCAGACATGAATCTTCCAAGAATTGGATGGGTCCTGAAAGCAAGTATGTACAGCTCTTTTTCATTCAAATCGGAGACGAATATGTGAACTTTCAGTCTTTCTTGTTCTGTATCTCTTCTTTCCATAAAATCTTGGACTTTTCGGGTGATTTCATCAGCTTGATGAGTTGCCAAAAATTTATCAGTGGAATGCTCAAATCTAGGTTTGGAATCTTTGACTATTGCGTTGGCATAATCAGGATTATCTATGAATTTAAAGATACTTTTTACCAAAATCATCCAAATCTAGGATCTTATATTTTTCAGTGAAATCTTCAATATCTTCAGCTTTACTATAGGATATTAGAGACTACTTCAGGAGTTGTATTAACTAGGGCTTAACTTTGAGGTGAGATATTATAGTCTTATTGTTAGTGAAATAATACTTATTTTCTAAATCAGCAAAATCTTACTCTTCATTATAATTCAGTCTGCATAGATATTTAGTGATCATAACTTCTTTCATGGTACTGAACCGGGAAAACCTATATAAGTTAGGGATGAAGGCATTAACTGAGAAATTTAGTGTGAACACATCCCAAATAACTTACTTGAATTTAATATCTGATGTATGATTTGCAAGAAGTAAAATATGCTTTTCTTGCTTTTTTGGATAAAATTTGATGAAAAAGACATCTCTAATCTTTCCATCTTGCATTCAGACTGATATAGGAATCTCATAAGTATGTGGGTTGTCATAATAATCATCCCCGACGATTTCACTTTTGTTTTTGATGGTAAATCCTAGACAATGTTACTTCAATGCATAGGATTTTTAGCAACTTACTTTTTATATCTTCTTTATAAAGGTTTTCTCTCTTTCTTTTGCCTAAACTTCTCTGCTTCTGTTTAGATCTTTTGTTAATTTGTTTTGAAAAGGCTTGGCTTTCCCCTGTCATACTATATTGAAATTTATTAGAATTCTAAGGCTATGATAAAGCAAAATTTGGTCTTCCTATGTTTTGAAGGCATACACCGCATCAGACTTGGAATCTGTAGCTGCTTTGGATAAAGACTCCATTTATTTTATTACTAAAATTACGATAGTCAATATATTGAGTCTTAATCGGGGTTTTGGGGTTTTGGGGTTTTGGGGTTTTGGGG